AAGTTAAAAAGTACTCTAACCACAGAATTCATTTGAAAACTACATTAATATCCACCTCTTAACACATGTGCAGATTCCATTAGAATTAAGTTCAGTATGTGTTTCAGCACATAAAACAGACATCTCATACAGGAAATTTATAACCCTTTAAGGGTTTTAGCATTACAATTTCATCAATAAAATTTAAACCAACATTTTCTTTGCTTAAGGTCATGATTTGGGCTCTGAGGAGAAACCATAGGAAAACAAATGGCTGTCAGGCCGGGTGACATATGTTATTGTTGGACATTTAGATTCTGTATCATATTTCACAGTCAGTATAGGGGTCATGGGACATATTATGTGGCTGGATGCTCTAGTACACTGGTAAAAATTCTATTAAAACTCTACCTGCCCTACATTAGTATACACTGACATTTAGAAAAGGCACAAAATACACAAAGCGATGGAGACCACCTGCCAGTGATGCATAAACAACTGCTTTCAGTTCAGCTGAACCCAGCAGGGAAGAAACCAGCAAGGCTCTCAGAAGTGCTTGCCCACGGCAGCTGAACTCCACAGCATAGTCCCTAAACCAGCCATCAAGGAACACGAGACCCTAACACCATTAAGGAAGATGTTGCTGACTTCTAATTTATGGCTGTTTATAAGAATTGCATTGTATTGTCTTACTGTCACTGTAATTATATCAAACATTGGTAGGTTGAAAATTTTACTTTTAAGGAAGCATTTAATATGCAGCATGATTAACATTATTCACTCTTAAAAGGCCTTTAGAGCCGAGCGTGGTGGCGCATGCCTGGAGTCCCAGCACTTGGGAGGCAGAGGCAGGCGGATCTCTTTGAGTTCTAGGCCAGCCCAGTCTACATAATGAGTTCTGGGGCTACAGGGAGACCCTGCTTCAAAAAAAAAAAAAAAAAAAAAAAAAGGCCTTTAGATATAAGTATAGTTATAGCTAAAGGTATTTATAGAACTTCATACCCAGAGGTTTGAGTAGCACCTACTTTATCACCCTGGTGTTTGCAAGATGCCAGTGAGCCTTATAGCTCTGGCATATCCTAAATCAGATTTTGCATATTCAGACTTTATACATACAAATAGCATGACATAGGAAAAAAAATGTAATTTTATTTGGGAGAAGATATAAAAAGTATAAAGCACTAGAATTTCTCTTCAAAGTTGTGGAAAAGTATGAGTGACTATCACTGGGTTTGTTCACTCTGAAGGCAAGGACTGAATGACTTAATTACCATTCTGTATTTTAGGAAACAAAGTCCACCAACTGAAATTCCCAGTATAAAAAGTATGTACAAGCCAGGCATGACTTTGCATGCTTGTCATCCCAGCACTCTGGATGCTCAAGTAGGGTTGACTGCCACTCCAAGCTCTGTGTGTGTGTGTGTGTGTGTGTGTGTGTGTGTGTGTGTGTACACGGGGCTGGGTGAAGATACCTTGGGTTTTATAAACCTTTAACAGTTGGACACACTCAGTGGCCCTGTGCTTCCTGCTCTCTCTTCTCTGATGTCCACTTTAGTCATGCTGTGGGTCAGCTTTCATGTTATCTCTGAAGACTTAATCTGGTCAGTTGGCAAGACTAGGGGATGAGTGGAAAATAATGCAGTGGTACCAGTTTTCCTGACGTCAGCAGGAATAAGCAGCACAAATAACAAGCCTTAAGGTGCTCAAGAGCAGACTGGGAAGACTTAGTAAGCGAGAAACACTAAGTAAATAAATGTCTAGAGGATGGAGACCAGGCCAACAAGGCACAGAACCACCTTCAGATTCACTGTTGCAATGACAGTGCTTTTCAGTAGGAATAAGAATAAAGTGGTGGCTGCTTTGTCCTAGAGGTTTATAGTCACAGATTCTGAGCCTATTTAAAAGAGAAGGAGCATTCCTCATGGCAGAGATAGGGCTGAGATAAACCACACAAAAATTTTAGGTATTGTTTAAGCAAGAAATCATGGTCAAAGTGAATTCTCATTCTAATAAAAGAAAGAAAATCCCCAAAGTGCCAATGTGATGTTCTACACAGAGCCCCATTTTAGTGATGCTTGTATGTTTCATATGGAGAAAGTAAAGATACAAAGGATTTTAAAAAATTATTTATTTTTATTTATGTGTATGAGCATTATGCCTACATGTATCTAAGTCACCCGTCTCATGCAGTGCCCACAGAGGACAGAAGAGGGTGTCAGGTCTCCTGGAACTAGAGTTATGGATAGTTATTAGTGGCCATGTGGGTGCTGGGATTTGAACACAGGTCCTCTGTAAGAGCAGACAGTGCTCTTAAGTGCTGAAGTCATCTCTCCAGCCCCAAGATACAAAGGATTTTAAAACTCAGAAAAATTTACATAAGATACAGACTTTATTTCCATAGATTTATTATCAGATGTTTTCTAAAATATCTATAATCAAACTTATACTCTTTATATAATATTTACTACCCTCCCTACCAATTAGATTTACACAATTAGTTTTGAAAGATAATACATTACAAGATCTAACAGACTGTAAACATAACAGATTGCAACCAATTTAACAGTAAGAAAAGTACTTTTCAAACGTTTGAACCTTCCTACCAATGTACAGAACTCAAACTATGTAAAAGTAGAAACCTGCCTTGATATGGGCACTGTGTTCTGAATCACCCACATTTCCCCAGAGAATGAGACACACAATTGCTAGCAGTACAAATCTAAATCTGTAAAAAAGTGAAGAAAACAAAAAGCACATACACCACAAAGAAAGGCAGGTACCTCTGAGGCATGGGCATTAATACCAAAGCAACAGAAAATTGCAAATGTAAACTGTAGAGTAACTGAACTGCCCTTGCTAATAAGTGTTAAAAATTTCAACAGACTAATCTGGAAGAACAAAAGAAATCTTCCTGAAACTACTGTGTTTTGAAAAATGTTTTAGTTCTCAGTATGGGGAAGATTAAAAAAAAAAATTACGGATCTCTGTGAGTTCAAGGCCAGCCTGGTCTACAGAGTGAGTTCCTGGTAGCTGGAGCTACAGGGAGACCCTGTCTCAAAAAAAAAAAAAAAAAATTAAGCCAGGCATGGTGGCACACACCTTTAATCCCAGCACTCAGGAGGCAGAGGCAGGCGGATCTCTGTAAATTCAAGGCCAGCCTGGTCTACATAGTGAGTTCCAGGACAGTTGGGGCTACAGGGACACCCTGTCTCAAAAAGACCAAAAAAAAAATTAATTGATAACAGTATTTTAGAATAGTATGTAATAATCTCGTGACCAAAATAATCTCAGTGAAAGTTAGGAATCTGCACTTGACACTATTATTCATAACTTTTGGTGAATTCAAATTGTATGATGATGATTCAGATATCAACATTTTTAAATGGTCTTTGTTAACGATTTTTTAAAAACATTTAGTTATGTTTTTCAAATTAGTTAAAATGTTAACCAAAGATTCTTGGACAAAGGTATTTAAAAAAAAAACTCAAACTTCAGTGAAAGTAACTATGGATAGTGTATATTATTATTTCCTAAATTGATTTCTGAAATCATAACCTAGATTTAATATTATTATTTGAAGATGTTGCCAGTAATTACTGTTAATAAAGCATTTAATTTTTTTTTTTTTTTTTTTGTCATTTTGAGACAGTGTCTCCCAGCTGGCCTGGAACTCACCATGTAGACCAGGCTGGCCTCAAACTCATAGAGATCTGCCTGCTTCTGCCTCCTGAGTGCTGGGATTAAAGGCGTGTGCCACCACACCCAGCAATAAAGCACTTTTAAATTAAAATTTCAGTCAGGATCACCATATTTTCGTATGTGTCAGCCCTCACCACCCACATCTTATTCATGATCCTATTTATTTTGGCCATTTTACTATTTCAATGGATCAGGAAAACAGAATCCAAATATAATGTTAATGTTCCTTAAATTAGTCATCCTAAATCCTACATCTTGAGCTTTTTAATTAGGAAATGGGCTGATCTTACAAGTATACTCCCAGACAACTAATTAGATGTTAACCCAACAAACCACTAGTAAAGTCAGATAAACAAGCAACAGTACAAATATATTATGAAATAAATGCAAATCTGTGACTGCACTAGACTGCTACATATGAGAGAAGTATTAAGCATGCCTCCTGAGCAAGAAGGCTCAAGAATTATACAAACCAAGCAATAAAGTACCTGTGTCTTTAAGCTTTCACTTTAGTACTGGCTATCCTGCATCACCGCCATGGGGGCTATTTCTTCTCTCAGAGCCATACAATTACCTCAGACATCAATATGCATTCCATGTTCTGAGGCCATCATTTGTCTGGTTCCTGCTAAATACATGAGGAATGAACACATATGTGGTAAAGATGATGTGGTTACTACATAAAGCCAGAAGGGCAAAGGAGAAGTTTTTCCAAATGGGCATAGCCACAAGCCATGGCGAATCCCATCTCGGATATGGTGTGAGGTCCAGGACATAAATAACATCCAGGGAAGAAAACGCCACGAGTCTTTGGGCTTGAGAAGGTGCATAACAAGCTTCAGAGTCAGAACCACAATGGGTATCACAGTGGAACAATGAAGGAAGGGCCTTCGAGGGAGAGTCAGTGCAGCCTGAGGGAAGAAGTAGTGGCGGGTGTCATTTCCTGCTTTGCAAGACCTCATAGCTGCTTCTTACTATCTTAACATAGCCAGAGTCAGAGGGGAACCGGAAGGTCTGCCACTCCAGGGTACACACATAAAATCACTTCAGCAAAGATAAAAGCATGGCCAGCATATCCTTTGCATTCACAATGAAATCAAGGTCTCGGGAACATGCTATTAATTTTCTAAGTTTCCCATTATTTGCTTAGAAAAGCCACAATGAAAAACATAATTTATATTCTAAATATATGATTTATATATAAAATACTTAAAAATTTCCATGTATTTTATTTATTATGTGAGTGGGTACAAACATGCCATGACACACATGTGGAGGTCAGTCTCTCCATCTGCCACATGGGTTTGGAGACTGAACTCAGGTCACATGGGTTTGGGGACTGAACTCAGGTCACCAGGCTTAGTGGCAAGTACCTTCGTCTGCTGAGCCATCTCACCAGCCCTATTCTAAAGCTTTAAAATCACATAATATTTGTACATTTTAAGAGGTACAATGTGACATTTCATACATGTACATAATGTATGATGATCAGATTAGAGTGCAGATCCATCAACCCAAACACCATTTGTGTTGAGAACATTCAAAACCCTCACCACTAGCTATTTTGAAATATACATTAATTGTTGTCAACCACAGGACTATAGAACATTAGAATTTATTCCTGCCGGGCGTGGTGGTGCATGCTTTTAATCCCAGCACTTGGGAGGCAGAGGCAGGTGGATCTCTGTGAGTTCAAGGCCAGCCTTGTCTACATAGTGAGTTCCAGGACAGCTGGGGCTACAGGGAGACCCTGTCTCAAAAAGGAACAAAAAAAAAAAAGAAGTTATTCCTGCTATCTAACCTCCCCCTGTACTTGTAACCTTCTCTCTCCACCCCTGCTACCTCCTATAATTTGGATTTTTTTTTTTTTTTTGGTCTTTTTGAGACGGGGTCCCTCTGTAGCTCCAGCTGGCCTGGAAATCGCTAAGTAGACCAGGCTGGCCTTGAACTCACAGAGATCTACCTGCCTCTGCCTCCCGATTGGGATTAAAGGCATGCACCACCATGCCTGGCTCTATAATTTGGATTTTTAAATTTTGTTTATTTTTATTTTATCTGTATGCATGTATTGCCTGCATGTAGGTAAGTGCACTCGTATCATGCAATGCCCACAGAGGTCAGAAGAGGCTGTCAGATCCCCTGGGACTTGAGTTACAGACAGTTGTTAGCTGCCATGTGGGTGCTGGGATTTGAACCCGGGCCTTCTGCAAGAACAACCAGTGTTCTTAACCCCTGAGCCATCTCTCCAGCCCCTGTAATTTGGATTTTTTTAAGGAACTGCTTGAGACTGCTAAGAGGACACACACACACACACACACACACACACACACACACACATATTAATGAAGGAAAAAAAGGAGAATATAGGTTTAGAACCATTTTGTACAGCCATGAGTGCTTTCAGAAGTTACTAATGATGTAAGAGATTTTTATCTTAAATATTCTAACATTGAGGAAATGGAAATTTAAAGAAGAGTGGTCTGCTGATACAACAAGGATTCAATCTCAAGCCTTCTGATTCCAACCGTAAGCAAAAAATATTGTGTTGCCTTCACTTAGGGCAAAAAGGCTAAAATTTGTCTTGAGTCAGTAATTACTGGCTCCTTACTGACTGAGTTTCTAAATAAGTGAGACAACTCTGACAAATGCTTTGTACTTGGTGAAAAGGAAGAAATGACACTTCGTCATGCAGTCTACAGTATTTACTGAATACCTACTAGGTGAGCCAAGCACTGTCGCAGGCCAGTGGCTTACAAAGCAAAGTCCATGCTCCAAGTCTGTACTTCTTCTCTGAAATGTTCATAAATCATATGCATACAAAAGTTAGTCAAGCATTTTGATATTCAGAAAATATTAACTGAGCCACCATTTTAAATTTGGTTTAAATTTATACGATAGACCACTGCACAACTACACACCTGAATGCCTCAATGGATTTCTTCATTTTCTCTATCAGGGACTATTTGAGGAGGCAGTCTATTGAAATGTGTACTTTTGGCCTTAAGGACTGGAGAAGTTAAACTACTTAAATCATTGCCCAGGAATGAGACTAATTATAAAGCTATTCAATTCTGATAACACAGATGGGAGGTTCACAGTAAAGGTAAAACATAAAGAGTAAGAGGAGAAATTTAAGTGTGGTCCTGAAGAAAGAACACTACTACAGAAAGAACTACAGCGGCCCAATGAAGCCTCTCAGTGTAAGCAGTTTGCTACTATATTCTCTGCAAGCAGCACCAAATTTCTCAGGCACAATTAGAAGTCCTTTATGTCCATCATAGCACTCTGTGATAGCAAATTTGATTAGCAACATGTCTATATGCATCTTTAGGGAAGTGTTAAATGATCAAAAAATTGGAACAAACTGGCTTTCATATTTTAAGGCAAGACTATTTCTGCAGACCAGTATGAGCTGGGCATGGTGGCACATGCCTTTAATCCCAGCACTTGGGAGGCGGAGGCAGGTGGATCTCTTGAGATTGAGGCCAGCCTGATCTACATAGTGAGTTCCAGGCCAGCTAGAGCTCCTGTGTTAAAAAACCAAAAAAAAAAGGGGGGGGGGGGGCGGGGGGGAGGGAGGGAGAAAAAAAGCAGGTTTTTTTTTTTTTTTTTTTTCAGAGGACCTGGGGTCGGTTCCCAGCAGCTACAAGACAGTTAATAATGGTCAGTAATTCTAGTTCTAGAGAATCTGACATCTTCTGACCTCTGAAGGCTTTAAAAGCAAAGATACACTTACATACATGCAGAAAATCAGACATACACAAAAATAAAAAAGAACAGTATGATGGTACTAAAGAAATTAAAGACCAGAAAAATTAATCATGTATGTGTCTTACCTTTAAAGACAGAGATCTAGCTAGAAAAAAATGGTCGATATCAATAACAGAGGCTAAAAATCCAGCTAAAAGAACTTCTCCCAAGTCAGTCTTCTTCTTAATTCCAATGACTATTGACCATGACCACATGCCAATGACACCATGGACTGTGTTATCTGACAGGGCACGCAGCCAGTCATTTTGCTGAACTGTGGAAAACTGAAGAAGCTTATCGGCTATTAGGCAAAAGATTCCCAGGCCAAGGCTGGAAATCAGAGACTCAGTGCTACAAGACTGGAGTAGAGCATGAGTCTTTTCAACCTCGGAAGCCATCATAAAATAAACAACACATCAGGATAGCGTCAAAGGCATCAGGAACCAATAGTCTATTCTTGTTTTCATCTCCAGTATCCTAATATAAAACACAGAGAAAAATATTCATGATTATTGACTGTCATACAATATTCAAACAAACAATATGAGCAATAATTACAGAAATATAAAAAAGCTAGCATCCCTTACATGTGGTATACAGTATGCCATATGACCAGAATCACAGATTAGCGTTGCAGGAGTAACAGTTTATATGGTATCAAGGAGATTTCATAAAATTCAGTGACTACAATTTATTCCTGTGAGGAATTCAAATAATTCTGTCTCTCAGAATGTGTAGGATGTGGTGGTGGACATTCACTGTGTCAATGCACCCAACTGCTTTCCTTACGCTTGTCAAAAGTGTTCCCTTCCTCTAGGAAAACTGCTTATCCTCAATGCCCAAATACCAAGCCATCCGATTAGAGTTCCTTGTCTCCCTGGCAGAAGTGTCTAGTGAAGTGGTCAGGGTCACTCAGGCTGGGTCCATCAGTGAATTTTCAGGATTTTCCTGTGAATCTGGTATGGAAGGGTCCTCTTTTTCTTGAAGGTCAGAGACTCTAAAACATGAAACAGTGGAGTACAGGAGAATCATACACAAAGAGACACAAGGACAAAAAACAAGAGAATGCCAAGTCCTTGGGTCCAGTCTCCAAGATGCCCTATCTTCTCCCATTTACCCCTCACTTCTAAGAGCCACCCTGATATTTCCCTCCCAAATCCGCCTTTTGTTTGCTGCCTGGAACAAAAACACCCCAAAAGGCAAGCATAATTTTGTGCTGAGTTCTTACCTGGCACAGGCTACAGAAATCATTTGTCTATTTGTCCAATTTTTCAATATTGTATCATCTGAACTTTTTATCTTATATTGTTTTAATTCTGAGACTAAAGAATAAATGATTTATTGAAAATGACTCAACTTCCATTCTGCAATAAAAACTGCAAATAGCTCATTTTTTATATAGTACACAACTTATATAGAAATGTAAAGACTAGAATAGCAAAACAACTTTGAAAAAGAAAATGGAAGTAGGACTGATGACTATAGGATTTCTAGTAGGAAATCCTGCAGCATGGAAGACGGTGCTGTAGAAAGAAAGCAGTGGGAATGAAACGGACCCACCCATGCATCGGATACATTTCTGACAAAGGTGCAAAAACAAGTTAACAGAGAAAGAATATGCTTTTCTTTCTTTTTAAAAAATATTTTACTTTTATTTTATGTGTATGAGTCTTTTGCCTGCATGTATGTAAGTGCATTACTTGCATGCAAGTTCGGTGCTCACAGAGGCCAGAGGAGGATGTTGGATCCCGGGAAACTGGAGTTACAGATGGTTGTTAGCTGTCATGTGGGTGCTGGGAATAGAGCTGGGTTCTCTGGAAGAACAGGAAGTGGGTTTTTTTGTTTTGTTTTGTCTTTGTCTTTTTGAGACAGGGTCTCCCTTGTAGCTCCAGCTGACCTAGAACTCACTATGTAGACCAGGTTGGCCTGGAGCTCATAGAGATCCACCACCTCTGCCTCCTGAGTGTTGGGATTAAAGGCATGTACCACCACACCTGGCAAGAACTTCTGCTCTTTGAAATATTAAGAGAATGAAAAATAAACTACAGACTTGGAGAAACAATTTGTAAAACTTTCATCTGACAAACAACTGTTTGTTTTGTTTCCAAAATTGAAAAAGAATCTTAAAGCAGAGAAACAGAAAAACAAGTAAATTAATACAATAATGGGCAAAAGATGTGGGACAATATTTCACCAAAGACAATACGTAGATAGCAAATAAGCAAACAAATATCCTCAAGAAAATCAATTCTTCAGGAAATGTGAATTCCAATCACAATGTGATATGAAATGCTCATTAGAATGGTTGATGTTAAAGAGAACAATCTAAATGTTGACAAAGGTGCAGAACTACTGGGAGTCTCATTTGCTGCTGGTGGAAAAGAAAGATAGCACATCCACTTTAGAAAATGTTTTTACAAATTCCTAAAAAGTTAAACCTTTCATACCATATGGTCCAGTAATTCTCTTAGGCATTTTCTCAAAAAAAAAAAAAAAAAAAAAAGCAAGCAAGCAAGCAAGCATGTGCGTATAGTATACCAAGACATAAAGTGAATGTTCATAGAAACCTTACTTGATTTAGTTTCAAATTAGAAATGGTCCACATGTCCTTCAGCATGTGAATGGATAAACAAGATGTGGAATAAAAAGAGACATACAAGGACTACATATAAATGGGCAAATCTCAAAATAATTCAACTAAGTCAAAGAAGTTGAAACAAGCATACAGTTAAATGACACAGAAAGGTACAAACCAATGATGAACCCTAAAATAAAGGATGAACTTAAGTTACTAAAAATATATCAATATTGGTCCATTAATTATACAGACATACTATAGCAATGTGTGCAGGGGAAAGGCAATATATGGAAATTTCTTGGAAGTGTCAATTTTTCTATGTATTTAAAACTTGCTTAGGTATATAATTTCTATTAACTTAAAACTTAGTCTAGGGGCTGGAGAGATGGCTCAGTGGTTAAGAACACTGGTTGTTCTTGCAGAAGACCCAGGTTCAAATCACAGCACCCACATGGCAGCTAACAACTGTCTATAACTCCAGTTCCAGGGGATCTGATGGCCTCTTCTGTCCTCCGCAGGTATTGAACGACATGGGTGCACTTACCTACATGCAAGCAATACACTCATACACATAAAATAAAAATAATAAATATTTTTAAAAATAGTCTATTAATTTAAGTCACATAAAATAAATGTGGAATTATGCTATATACTTTTTCCTTTTTTGTGGTGTTGGTAAACACAAGACTTCTAAGTATGCTTGACATGCTGCTAAGTCTTAGTAATGGGTGCTACAGAACTCATTATACTGTTTTCTACTTTTCAATAGGTCTGAAATTTTCACTGGGAAATACTGTTTAAAAGAATCCATTGTATGATTCATTAAAGTAGATCAGTAGTTGTGAGGAACAGGACATGCAGCAAGGACTAAAAGGCAAAAGAGGCTCCAGTTGTGTAATCGGCAGGTGCATGGCATAAGAAAGCTCTGTGGGATTCTGATGTTCAGTATCTTGTGATAGCTTCATATATGCCAAAATGTGTTCTAAGTATTTAGTGCAAATTACATTTCAGTTATACTCCAACAAGACATAAAATAAAATTAGGAAAGTATACTTTCCTGGTGTTAAAAACAGCAGCCTTTGGTGGAAAAGGAACAATCTGAAAACAAGAAGTTATGGAGAGGAAAAACCAGACTGCCCAACTCAAAAGTCAACACTAGAGTGGGCGCTTCAAAAGATGAGGCTGGGAAACAGGACACTTCAAGGAACTTTCCCAAAGTTTAGAGGCTGAGGAAAGGACAAAAAGTTTGGCTCTGAAAGAAAAAAAAATTCCCAAACAAAGAGAAAATCCTTCCAGTTTCTAAGTTAAAAACAACAACAACAACAACAAATTAAAACAAAGTTATCTGTAAAAAAAGAGAATGTAGCACCTCACCAGCCCTAAGAGCCCACGTGTTGTGGAATAACATCCACAGAGCTCTGAGAGAAAATCCAAGATTCCAAACATAGCCAAGCTATGGTACCTCTGTAACAATCCTGATTTTAAGAGTTTTGCCTTAGAAATTATAATGTCCATATATGATTTGAGGGAGTTATCAAAGGCTATAAATCTCTATACAGGGGTGTCAAATAAAACCTGATCAATACAGAAAGAAAAAAAAAAAGGCAAGAAGAAAGCTCCTACTCCCCTACATCCCACTGTTGGGAGCCTGAGTCTCAGCATGTTGGTAGACTGAGTCTCAGCCACTTCTTAAAACTGCTGACAGACCTAAGCTGGCTACTTTCCATTCTGTCCGCAGCCTTGGCCCAAAACATTGGCAGGCAGCCTGGGCCCAAAACCTTGGCTCACAGCCGGGGCCAGCAGCCCGCAGCCTTGCTCTAGTTTAGGTGAATAGCTCTGTTCTTGGTTAATCAGTAGATTCCTCCCTTAGAGTACATCAGGACCTCCGTGTTCTGACTGATGTGATTACCCACTCCTTGCTCCCTTGTTTTCATTCTCTATTTAAACTCATGATTGTGTTTCAATAAATGAGACTTGATCAGAATCCTGTCTTGTCTCCATTTCTCTTGTCTCTTGCCCCATCCCATCCACATCCCCACTCCTCAATTCAGCCCCATTCCCCAATCCAGGTACCTCGTTGCAGACCCCACGGGCCGGGGCAGAGTGGCGCCCAATGTGGGGCCTGGATACTGGGGGTAAAAGTGAGGGAGGCGACGTAGAAGGAGGGGTACACACCCGATATATCTCAAGTAGCCGGAGATGCTGCGGGAGCCTGCTGTGGCTGAAACCGAAGGTGAGTCAGGTCGTCTATTTAAATCATGGGGCAAGCATTAAGTCAGCATCAGATTTATGTTATACAGTTAAGGGAAGCTCTCAAGGCAAGAGGAGTAAAGGTAACTACTGAAGATTTATTTCATTTCTTTGATTTTGTAAAGGAACTTTGTCCTTGGTTCCCCCAAGAAGGGGTTATAGATATAAAAAGATGGAAGTAAAAAGATAAAAAAGTGGGAGATGCATTACAAGAATTTTATACAGTGTTTGGACCTGAAAAGGTTCCTGTTTATGCTTTTTCTTATTGAAATTTAATAAAGGAGTTAATAGATAAGAGAGATGAACATGAGCCAGTGGTGGCAACAACTGCCCGAGCTAAAGAGATATTTAAAAATAGTTCTAAAAATAGTTCTAAGTCAGAACTGAGGGAAATTCCAAAAATTCCCAAGGATGAGCCTGACTTAATTTCTCTTGAAGATAAGGATTCTTCAAAAAATTTAGGGAAGGAGTCTTTAGAGTCAGTTAAAGGAAAAGAAAATCAAGACGATGCTCAAAGTCTTAAAAAAGAACAAATTCGTATTTATCCTCTTTTACCAAAAGTTGCCTGCCCAATCTTAGAAACAGATGGTGCAGAGTCTGTGAAGGAGGGGTTGAGTTGTAAAACTGAGGATGTGTCATCAAATGGCCA